CAATATCAAATCAGGTTGCTCGATACGATCGACCGTCTAGCTGCAAACTGTGACGTTGGGACATTGTGAAAAATCGTTTTAAATACTAATATGTTAGTGATCTCGCTCAAGTCACGATTTAGAGTTCAAATGAGCACAGCTATATCACCCTCAGCGTGCTTAGTATTGACTGTCCTTCAAATGCTATGAATTGAAAACACCTATCTGAAGGCGGAAATCTGCGCTGAGTGAGAAGTTAGTCATAAAAAAATAATAAATTTGGAGTAAATATTGAACGGTATCTGTTGTTTTATTCAAAAATTTAGTGTTCCTGTAATGTACAACCAAGTAGTAGCCGATGGTAAGTGTTTAAGCTATCAGGCCATAAATGGCAAGCTAACACACAAAATGAGTGATTAATACTTATCTGTAGCAAACCAGTTACACAATTTATACCTGAAAAATTCACGAAATGGTGGAGATGAAGATATTCTACGGATCTCTCAACCTTTGCGATCTAAATGAAATAAAGCCAATTGCCAGTTGAAAAGAAGATACAAGGTCTTCACAAACTGGTCGCAAAACTTATACATGTCGCACAGTATACATCAAAATATTCACTTGCAATAAATGGTAAGAACCAAAATTATTTGCAGAACTTGTTGCAGCATATCTCTTCACGTTTAAATTCACGCGACAGAAGTAAGCTCAAATACTTTCTACAAAAGCATATTATGGAATAGGCAAAGCCACTCGTCTTCTGTAATGAAAGAATTATCTTGCATACACTGGAGACAACAACCTACTGAATGTTATTCTTTACCCTACATTCATCAGTAGATGCACTGGCCTATTATTTACGTGATCGCCGGCAAACTGTCTCCTGAGATTCGAGTAAAGTACATTATTCCGGACAATGTAAGCGGCATCCAGATAGCGAAGTTCAAATATGTTCAATCTCTCTTGCTGCAGGAAGTAAGGAAGCGCCATGTGCATTTTCTCTCTCCGTCCCAAATTTTTTTTATAAAATACATACATATGTAAGGGGTGACTTTTCAGGCAGCGCATGTATATATATATATACATATAATATACCGTTGCTCCCGCTGTAAGTCGCCTTTAGTTGAGGCAGTAAAAACCCTCTTCTGAAGAGTCTGTCTTCTTCTCTCTGCGCTAGGATTGGTGGGGCTAGCGTCGTAGCTGGGGATTTGTGAACTCGTTCTCAGGTTGCGTGTATTGGTCGTACCCCTCTTCTGAAGGTCTAGTCTTCTTCTCTCTGCGCTAGGATTGGTGGGGCTAGCGTCGTAGCTGGGGATTTGTGAACTCGTTCTCAGGTTGCGTGTAGCTGTTGGTCGTACCCGCTTCCGTACATAACATTTTGGCGACTGGGGTGGGAACTAAGATTACTGTAAGCATCAACATCTATCTCTATCTGATGGGAATGCTGCTTTCCCAGTTGGGGTTCTCTGTAGAAATGGGAAGTTGTATCTCTTACCAAATACATCCCTGGATTTCATTCCGAGCCAACACCACGGGTGATTTGAAGAGACGGTATGAATGGCACGATGGCATCACTACAATCACAATGGACGCCGCATAGATTGTACTTCTTCCTGAGTGGGATTTCTCTGATCTTACCTGAACGTTGTCAGAAGCCATAAAGAGTACTGTGCGTAGCCGATCACAGTAACCAATCTCAAGTTACTTCCTAGGCGTCTGTCTAGCTACCATTCTGTGTCTGTGGATGAGGGTTCGGAAACTACATTTGGCTGATCTTGTCGATGACATCTTATTCCGGTATGGTGCCTCCGTGGTACTGTACTTCTTCCAGAGTTGTCAAACTCGACCCTTTTCCAAAGGATAAGAGATATTATCTACTGAGTCCTAACACTTCCCTCCTCTGCCGCTTGTCAGAGAGTTGTTTCCTCAGGGTTATATGACATTTGAGTGTTAGTTTTTATTGCTGGTATGTTGTTGCCGATGTTTGAAAAACGCTTATGACGATAATGATGACAACTTTGCGGAACCAACTGAAAGCTACGTTGTGTAGGTTTGAAGTTGTGGACAAGATCGCAACTGAATGCTGGTTTGTATGTAAGAACTCCGCGGTTGAGTTTAGTTAGAAGAGGAACAGTGAAATTGGCTGCATCGATTTTGAAGAAGAATGTTCTGATTCTTGCCAGACCAGACCTAACAATCCTCTTCATAAAGACCTGAGTGAATTGACCAGCGACGGTCTTCGTGGGGCACGGTCGTCATAGATAGGGTTAATGGTGGTTTTATCACTGCGTATGGTGTCATCCATATCTCTTCAGGGGGCAGCAAACCATGAGATTGACAACGTATGATCTGGGAAAAGAGCGTGGAAGGGATTGGACTTTTTAGAATCAGGTCACTATGAGCATTCTTGTGCTTCAATTTAGGTTTAGATTGCCAAAATATTTCGATGGCGTCAGTGCGAACACGCCAAAGTGAATACGATAGGTCAGCAATCAGGCCTCTCACTTGTCCACTTTCTTTCTTTTATATTTGTGATTTATAATTTTTTTTGACTATAGAGAAAGTATCATGGCATTACGATCATATCTGATTCTGATTATGTTGACAATTTGACGAAGTGCTCTTTTGGCTGGTCACTCCTGGTCTTATTTGTACGACTGACTCTTATTTAAAAGGTTTTACCAGGGAAACAAGTTTCAAGGGAATAGCTCAGGCACTTCACTTGAAGGATAGCCTTCCATCTACATGATGTTCTTATGGGAGGGAAGGCTGAGTGTAGGTAGAAATCCATAGTGTTTATCTAAAAATCATCCATATTTGTTTACTTCTTGTTCTTATTCAGCCAATCAACCTCAATTACATCCACTTACGTTATCACTTATCGACGAACAGGATCAAACCGGTGACCTTGACCTGGAAATCAGCCACGAAAACGCAGCCTCCTCAGTATCGTCACTCTTTTCGATATCTTCAAGGACTTCAGAAAACGGTCACTTGAACACTCCTGCTGCTGGAAACCAAGAGCAACTCAATAACCAACCGGCATCCCAGGAGTTAGAACGATGGGTGAGAGTTAATGGTTCCTTGGACGGTACAGTCGTGGATGAAGGTAACCTCGTCAGTGAGCATCGAATGCGACATGGGCGGGTTACTGGTCTGGAATGGACTACAATGGTACAAGAAACAGACAGTGGCTTGGGAAGTTTTCGGTTTTTCACTGGTTCATCCACTTCAGATGTGGCAGATGCTGAGTTGTCAATACGACGGGATTCGCCACCGTACGTCTCATTAGCTCCGATCGAGGCTTCGCATAGCTTTGGACAAGCAACTCATTCCGTTCACCCTTCTGGGCGTTTCCAGTCTGATTCCTACCAAATTACTGGTCGTCTACATTATGCAGACGACCTGAACACAACCAACCAAAAGTACCCCTCTGATGATATGGCTCAACGTACGCCAACCAAATCGTTCTACGAGGCTAACCCTGCACATCCGGTGTTCCCAGTACTTTCCAGAAATTTGTCTATGGAAGAGCCATTAAGACCTAATTACTCAAGTTTTGAAGAGCCGCGTTCTAATAGATTTATTACATCCTACAGTCAGCCAACACATACTAACCACACACCTTCTAGACGCGGTCAGGACATAGATACAACCACTCTGTCACCGGCCTCTCCCCTCTCTGCTCTGGAACTGACCGGTGACGTACGGACAGTGAACATGCATGCACTAGACCAGTTGCCCCTAAGAACGTGGTTGTGATGTTCGTTTCATGTGAACCCGCCTTCCTTGCCAGTATGATGCACTCCCGGTTCCAATTGCCTTGACGCATTTTCAAAGCTATCGATTGCCAATTATTTTCTTGATCATACTACTTTTCCATTGTGGTCGGTCAGTTGGTGGCCCGTCATGCTTCTCTATCCGATGAAAATCGAACCCCTTTTCTTCGTTGTTCACGTGGTGGTGTTTCAATATGAAACATTATGGCCTAAGTATTACCACAAGTTTTGGTGTCCCGTTGACCTCTTCAAACATTTTCAGGTATTTTTTAATTTGAAATCGAGATGTCTGAATAAAAAATACTCCGATATTCTTGAATTTACTGTCTCTTCTCAGATTCTGAAATAGGGACGCTTAGGGGACACTTCTCAGGGAAAGAATATGGAATTAGTTTTCAAAATTTGTGAATGATTGACCAGTTTTGGGAACTGTGTATCGAGTGAACAGTTGTGAACACAGTCGCAATTCATATTACCGTGAACCCCGGTCCGGATAGCCGATTGATTGCCTGGTGCGCTTGGCCAAACCAGAAAAAGTCAATGAACGTGCGAACCGGCTGATCTATTGATCACTGTCGCGTACAAGCGGGTCAAAAAGTGATACTAAGAATACAACTCATCTGTCAAGGACGAATGAAGAACAGCCAATTAAATCTGTCCCAGCGAAAACGGCCATTCCATTGGCTGTTATGTAGTCCCGTCACGTTCGGAGCTGGTTCTCCTAATAACAGTCATCACCGTAATCTTCTCATTGGCATAATTCCAATTAACATCGATACCAATGCTTATATTCACATTGCAGACATCGATAAATATGTAAATTCGTTTTTTCAGCCCGAGAAGCAGTACAGCCAGCGATACTGAAACGTTGGTCTACTGATCCATTGCACGACGAATGCAGTGTGAGCGCCACAACAGCAATAAACCAAGAAGGAAGTGAGCGTGAGATATAGAAAGCTAAAAATAAGATACTATAGGTCCAAACATCACATGTTCGTTATGTACTTCTCACTGGATATGACCAACTCACTAAAACAACGTAACGGTGGCAAATCGTTGCCCTAAAATGCAACTACTGATGGGATTATATGGAGGCGAATACTCACGATCAAATTTGTTGGAGCATAGACAGAGATCGGGCAAATATTCTTTTTAATGTACTTTTTCAACTTGATGTTTTGTACAAAGGTATATTTCGGTCTATCTGAGGCGATGTACATGATATAGTAGTACTTTTCCGCACACGACGCCACTTGTCAAATGTTTGAGTAGCATGAACGGCAGCGCAGTTTAAATAGATTTATATATCTCATTTTCATTCTGGATGGAGTTTCCAGGTTCATTCTACGTGGATAGGCAAGAAGATCTCACTTGCTCAGATCACAGGCCTTCTTGCACTTGCCATCGTCCACTACGGCGTCTTTCAGTCAAAAGTCCCACTTACACCATGGCTCTGATCACAGGCTAGTGAGAATAAGAGCCAGTCACTGCTGGCGACGAGCCTGGAAACGACATACCGGCGAAAATGAAAGTGGGGGTGGAGGCTTGAATTAAAAATAAGTCCGTATGTACCCATCTGCAATTCGTCCCCTGCGCGTCCCAAAACCCGGTTAACAGCTCAGACGCTTCAGAGGAACCATGTGTGGCGTTGCTTGCTCGCAGCACCTACAGGACACCCCAGTTTCTTTTTGTGAGACGACAGATTCAATACCAGGCAGCCAAACCTGTCTCCATACAGTATTGATCTTAAAGTCAGCGAGGAATCTGGACACACCAGGGCAATAGGTAGTTGTTCGGAGGGCCTTTGCCTTATCAATGTCTGGCTTGTCCGTGATCCCTGTTAGACGTCCTTAGTCACCTGGTAGAATCACTAAGTTTTGGTCTTCTCCAGCTTGTTTGTCGCCCCTTTTTCTTTCCCTCTCTTCTTCTTTACCTCACGTTATATTTTTATATGCCAATCTGTCAAGGCGCATTTTCGCATTACTGTTGAACACAGACGGTAACCGGGACCAGTTAGTTTTAGCTTAAAACAGTTATTATTATCGTGAGGGGTAGGGTTCTATCCGTCGATGATAGAAGTGCTCGAATTCTACTTATCTGGCACTGTGATCATTTCTTCTGGACTGGATCTTGAAATCTAGCTCAGACCTGATAAAGAGCTGAATCTATTTCGTTTTTGGGGTGATAGCACCAAGCCACCGTGAACGAAGTATGAAGCTCCTCGAGAAATCGATTCGGACCTGTACTATGTGTTTAGAAATAGCTGAGATTTACGTTGAGACCATTGGAACATGACTGATTTGGCGCATTCTAGTTTGGTTCCAAACAAACGATGCAACTAACCCTGTATTTCGTCCGACTTCATCCCGATTTGCAGATAATGCAACAGATGAGGTCCCACAATATTGTACTTTTCACTGCTTTGTTCAATCACTTCGAAATCTCTATGTTTTAAGTTCGGCCAAGGCGTGGTAATACCAGTTGTAATTCAGATTTCGCCTGCTTGCTTTTTACGACTTTCACGAGTTTTACGCATATTAACCAAGTCAAATGCTTCGGGCTTTCACAAGCGTCAATTACGGACTAGATATTATGGCTTCCAGAAAAGCAGTCACTCGATATCTGAATCCTCTTACGGAAAGTAAGAAAAACCTGGATTGCGATCTCCTTTTGAGAAATCTCTCTTCAGGCGCACTTTCTTGTGGAGCAAAACCAGATAAATCTTTCACCTTCGATGTGCGACAACTGACGTGGTAATTTAAGGCACCGCACAGTGACGTTTTATTAGATCCAGAAGTCACCCCATCATTCTGTTTCGAATGTCTAACATGTGCACCAGTTCTCATTTACAGGAACAGAGAATGGTCAATACACGTCTGCATCATGCTTGATACAGTGACATATTCATCCCCTTTGGTGATCACGACCATTGAACCAGTTTGGTGGTTTTCAAAGCTGACTGAGCGTTTTACACCTTTTGTTCTATGGTCCAATGCTGGTTTAAACCCAGGCATGTTCCTTACAACGTTTACATTCCCAGAGAAGTACTTCGGAATCTCCTTAGCACTACGTATAAGCGAATTGAGGTCCCATTCTTCTTCCGAAACACTGAGTGACCCAACAAAATATGGGTTAACTTACAAAGATTTGGGGAAGTTAGTGAAAAAGTGCAATAGGAAATCTTCTCGGGTTTTTATGAATAGTTTTACCGCTGTGATCGTCATTCGTCACCTGTATCAAATTGGATGGCATGGGATAGTAACCAGTTCATTTGTGACTGAAAACAGTTCAACATATGAGTAGTTAGAATGAACAAACATCAGTTTCACCAAACGGGATATGGCATTAGACACATACCATTTCGAATTGCATTACTATTCTTCCTCATGGCCACCACTCTGCTAATAAAATTGGGGCCTTACGAAGATCGAGGCCGAAATTGATGTGAAAAACGACTCCAAATGCCTAAACAACCTTCGCTAAAATGGATGACAGGCGACGCCCAAGGCGGTTTTCCGGCAACAATTCAGTCAAGCAAGAGCTTTCTGATTTATTCCCTCCGTGCATAATGCCATTGTTACCGGAATTTGTCCAAATTCTAAACAGAATATCTATTCTCTACTTATTTGAAAAAGTAGACTGGAATGTGACAATGTGCTAGAGTCAAGGACACGAACTCTTCTAGTCACCTCTTGTATTGACCTGACCAGAAAATCCTGCTTTGTGGGTGATATGCGTGATGTATCAAATAAAAAATTATTATTTTATTATCCTGGACCATTTCAATCCAAGCAACATTTTGGGGTCGTTTTAGTAGAGAATTCTTGCCAGTCATTGGATCAGCTCATAAGGTGGTCGCATTCCGAAATCATAGCTGTATAGCAATAATCAACAGCTATTCATGCTTATTCACAAGCATGAACTTTTGAGAGATTTTGCTGTTTGCGTCTCTTAGGTAAATCTTGGGGAGCAGCAGATTCAATGTGGCAAATGCAGGGCCATTCTTTGACACATCAGGTACGTCACTTTTCCTCGACAAACTTGAGATGATCGCAGCAAACTGAGTTGTTGTCCGATACACCTGCAGTACTTCGTATAAGCTTCCACATAAACAACAGCAAAATGAACTTGGTGTGTCGTGCGACAGCTCATTCGACCGTGGTCTGTTGAATCCGAAACTAAGCCCACATGTTAGGATATTTTTAAAGTACAGCGTCACCATTTGCCCGCTACTTGTAGACAGTTATGCGATCGCCCAGAACATTGTCATTGTTCCAACCAATGATCGATTCACTCTACATTGGCTGATAGCCGAGGAGGTGGAGATAACCGAGCATCAAACCGTGAAGAAAATTGAGGGTGTGGAGCTGTTGAGTGTATGGAGAGTGGTCTTATTAACTGAGTTGACACATGACTGTGTGGTAGTCAATGCGCGTAAAATCATTAGCAAAAACGGGGTAGAAATCCCAACCCGACCAAAGGTCATAGAATCCCTCTTCCTTACACAAAAATCGTGGCACTCGCTCATCCACAGAGACGGACGAAAAGTGGAAACTACGTTCCAGAAGAGACATCAGACGAACCAGAAACACTGGATCCCAAGCTGGACCCAAATCCATTTAGTTTTCCCCATCAACTTAACACTCGGTGACCCACCTAACACAAAATCCCTTGGTCTTAACACAGCTTTAGCTTGACTTAGCTGATTGGTTATCCTTCCACCTTAAATCACGACCAGCCACGTAATCTAGTCATTTGGCCCGTCGAAACCTTTGTGTCAGAAGCGAAACGTTGCCTAGCAATAAATATACAGATTGTCACCAAACGTTTCCGAAAATGACGGTTTTAAATATTTCTAGCTGCATTGAGGACGGTGGGTGTAGTGAATTTAGTTTTCTTGATGAGGGGTGGATGTGAATCAGTCGACATATGTGATCAGATCAGGCTGCCACTATCCTATTTCAACAACGGTAGCAAAACCCT